TATGCATTAATTTGAATATTTTGCTGATTTAGAAATATTTTAATGCAACAACAGGGCTATGTAGGAAAATAAGGATTACCCTAAATTTATTTAATTCCTAGTGTATATTGAATCCATTAAAGGACCACTCTAGGCACCCAGACCACTTCAGCTTAATGAAGTGGTCTGGGTGCCAGGTCCAGCTAGGGTTAACCCATTTTTTCATAAACATAGCAGTTTCAGAGAAACTGCTATGTTTATGAATGGGTTAAGCCTTCCCCTAATCCTCTAGTGGCTGTCTCATTGACAGCCACTAGAGGCGCTTGCGTGCTTCTCACTGTGATTTTCACAGTGAGAGCACGCCAGCGTCCATAGGAAAGCATTGTAAATGCTTTCCTTTGCGACGGGCTGAATGCGCGCGCCCGCATTCAGCCCAGGAGGAGGAACGGAGGAGGATCAGAGGAGGAGTGCTCCCCGCCCAACGCTGGAAAAAGGTAAGTTTAACCCCTTTTCCCCTTTCCAGAGCCGGGCGGGAGGGCGTCCCTGAGGGTGGGGGCACCCTCAGGGCACTATAGTGCCAGGAAAACGAGTATGTTTTCCTGGCACTATAGTGGTCCTTTAAGCATAGCATTCAAATATATAACAAGAACTAACAAGGAAACGGATAATCTTGTCCAGTAATGTTTAACATTGAAAGTGGTAGCTCCCAATTTACACACTCCTTAATTTTTACTGATCCAGCATTGATTGCTTCGAATTAAAATGCCCTCAGTCTTACTTATGCACTCCTAGTTTCTGCTGGCATTAAATTAACAAAGTACATGCTCCTATTATAGCCATGTTTGAAATACCTCATCTTCATTTCATCAACAAACTGACCATTCTATCTTGTGAGTTTGCTAATATGCTAACAAACTCAGAATGCTCGATATATGCTGCTAGAAGATTAATTATCACCTTCATTGTGCTGTGCAGACGAACTAACCAACAAATACACTGAATAAAAATATAATGTAAAATAGGTTGCTGTGTGCTGTGTGATGATTACCAAATACAAAGCACGGATAGGGAGTGAAACAACAAACACAGAAAGGAGATGACAAGCTTACAGATCATCCTACTTTGACCCAAGTGCATTCAAGATTTTTTTTTTTCCTTGGAACAAAGGGATCTTTTTTTATACTCAAGAACATACTAAAAGAGCATAAATTTGAGTGTACGTTTGTATTCTTCTACAATGCATGGGATTATTTTATGGGGCAAGGAAAGTAGCAGAAATTGCATTAAACTAACAGCGAGCATTCCTTGAAATAAAAATATGTCTACCACTGCTTCCTTCCTTGTCCCAAATTTTCGACCTTTTAACAATTCCACAGCCTTATCTTATGTCCACGTAAACAAATTAGGTTTATTCAATAACGTGAGAATTCCAGGAAATTTTACAGTGAATTTCACAATTTCATAATTTATTCCAAAATAGCTGAATTAGAAAAACAAATCTCCAAATCAATTCTATTTTCAGCTTGGATATTTTGGCGTTAAATTTGAAATTCACTTTAAATTCACTTGGAATTTCAATTAAATCTCACTTCAATGAATAACCCTGTATGCCTTTGTCATTTCTAGCTCCCAGACTTTATCATACACACAAAGTTTTCTTCACCACCAAGTTTAATATTCATTTACAATTCCTTGTGCTCCTATTCTCCGTTATCTCTACCTCCGTTATTTCAATTACAACCCCAATCTCATTTCACATTCTATTCCATACTCAACTTAATCTCTAGTTTCTAGCCATACCATCTTAAGTTCTCAGTTTAGATCTCAACTCAAGCTCTCTGCCTCTATATTCTCATAGAAACATAGATAGATACATAGAATGTGATGGCAGATAAGAACCATTCGGCCCATCTAGTCTGCCCAATTTTCTAAATACTTTCATTTGTCCCTGGCCTTATCTTATTGCTAGGAAAGCCTTATGCCTATCCCACGCATGCTTAAACTCCTTTACTGTGTTAACCTCTACCACTTCAGCTGGAAGGCTATTCCATGCATCCAGTAACCTCTCAGTAAAGTAATGCTTCCTGATATTATTTTTAAACCTTTGCCCCTCTAATTTAAGACTATGTCCCCTTGTTGTGGTAGTTTTTCTTCTTTTAGATATAGTCTCCTCCTTTACTGTGTCGATTCCCTTTATGTATTTAAATGTTTCTATCATATCCCCCCTGTCTCGTCTCTCCCCCAAGCTATAAATGTTAAGATCCTTTAACCTTTTCTTGTTAGTTTTATCCTGTAATCCATGAACTAGTTTTGTAGTCCTTCTCTGAACTCTCTCCAAAGTATCAAAATCCTTCTCATCTTACCCTCATGTATTTTTTATTTTACATTTTGTCCTCTGGAAATAGTGGTATTTACAGGACATGCATGTACATCCTCACAAATTCACAGGACTCCCAGTGAATATTTGAGTCAAGGGTCCATCCTGTAAGTTGTCTGTTGATCCAGCATAGGTGTATTTAGATTGTGGATGAAAATACATACTGGAACTCATCCAAGAAATCGATTAGCTTGCAAGCAGGACTAGGTGTTGAAAATACTTCTCAGGCAATCAAAACCCTCATGTGGTCAATCTTGTTGGCAGAGAATAATTCAAATTCTTGCACCACTCAATCAAATAAGTAATCATGACAGCAGAACAGTTTGGATTGAACAGCCTGTCTACCACTATTAACCTCAAAGTCTTACAGGTAACATAAATGTGTTCCTTTAAAGTCAGAATGTGCAGTTATTTTGATGATATTCTATCAGCCATTGTATGGAATATAACCTATGGAGTACAAAAGGTTTTTTCTTATGCTTTTTAACCCCTTAAGGACACATGACATGTGAGACATGTCATGATTCCCTTTTATTCCAGAAGTTTGGTCCTTAAGGGGTTAAAAGGCTTATTTTTATGTTTTATGAGCTATGCTAAATATTTAGTAATCATTAATTTTTTTTTCTATTTTCTTGCAGAGTTAGCTAGAGATAGGAAGTGTTAGTAGACCCAGGGACAGGTACAGGATAGAGGATATGTGGTTTTGAAGTAAACAATCTACATTGGTTGTACAGTAGTTGCCTTTGGATGGAATAGGGTAATGCAGAAGTAGATCATGTTAACTTGGACATTGCTTAGTTCAAAACTCCAGAATAGATCTGACACCTGGGTTTAAATATCTGGACTTACTTGTTCAGTTGTAGCTTCTTCTGCAAAGGCACATGTCCAGGAGCAATTTTGTAAATTTTAATGGTAGTTAAATTTAAAATTGAATTGTAAGAAAATTTACAATTTTTAGGATATATTAAAATAAGTAATTGTCTATCATTTTAATTTATGAGGACCCTTCCATGTCAATTTTGCTTGTTAAGGTCTCACTTTGATCACAGTTGCTTCAAGCTATCAAACTCTTTGCTGAACCACACCCAGGGAAGAACTACAGCACACAATAGCAGTAGGACATCATCAAAATATAGATTATACTAATACACAAGAAATAGGGAGACACCATTATGTCACCAAATCAAAAACGTATAGTGATGTGGTAAAAGAAGGCCCATACAACTATCAGAAAACGAATCAAATGGGGAGAATGGGGAATTTAAGACAAGGTAGCAATGATAGAGTAGAGCCTATTTTGATGAGGAATAGAAGCATAAGCAAATCTTTACCTCCAGATACTCCCCCCTCACCTTCTTTTTTTCGGAGGGATCTGATACAGAACAGAAGGAAATGGATGAACGATATACAACTATGGGACACGCAGGGAAAAAGACAAAGATCAATAGAAGAAGAAGAAGAAGAAAGAGAAGAGTTGGGAAAGAGCCACAGAGAGAAGAGGGGGAAGACATCGATTTAAAAGGAATTTTTAATGTTGCAGACAAACCATTTACGAAGGAACAGATAAGCATTTTAAAGAAAGGCCTTAAATTTGCCCCAACCGCGGATTTTAATGCTTTTAACTTTTTTACAGATATGAATCATTTTATTAGGAAATTATGTTTAAAAATTTTTTTTTATAATAGGACGGAACAGATGTCCAAAGAAAATGAAAGTATGGATGAATACCAACATACATCACTTAAAGAAAAATCACAATTTTTTCCACGTCATCTAATTTCCCATGAGACAAAAACTTTTGAAAAAATGGTTATGAAGGAAGTAAGGAAATACAAAAAAGAGAATAAATATCAACAAAATTTAACAATAGGAGAGAAGAAAGCACTAAAGGAAATAAGAGATAATTCCAACTTGATAATCAAACCAGCAGATAAGGGAGGGGGAGTCGTGATGTTTAATAGATCCCAATATCTGAAGGAAGCTATAAGGATTTTATCAGACTCTTCAACGTATAAAAAACTTACACATAATCCCCTTACACAGACTGTGAATATATTTAAGGAATATGTAGAGAAAGGGAAAGATCTAAAGATATTAAATGAAAAAGAAGCTGGATATTTATTTGTAACCTATCCTAAAATCCCAGTTTTTTATCACCTCCCAAAGGTACATAAAAACATCACGGAGCCCCCCGGTAGACCCATAATATCAGGTATAGATTCCGTCTCTACGAGAGTGTCGGAGTATATAGACACTCTCTTACAGCCTCTAGTTTCGGCCACTCCATCGTACCTCAAGGATACAATTCATATGTTACAAATTTTGGAAGACACGGTTTGGCAACAAAGTTACTCATTAGTAACCTGTGATGTCACTTCCCTATATACCATAATACCTCATGAGAAAGGGATGGCAGCAGTACGGCACTTTCTGTCCAAATCAAATTTTAAAAGTGAACAGATAGATTTTATTTTAGAGGGCATTTTTTTGATCTTGACTAACAATTTTTTCTGGTTTGAGGGCGAATTTTATCTTCAGATCTGTGGAACGGCGATGGGCACCAAGTTCGCCCCTAGCTATGCCAATCTATTCATGGCATTCTGGGAAGAAGCTTTTGTCACCCAGGGCCATGAGTGGGGGGCGTACTTGGTGTCCTATCGCTGTTACATAGATGACATATTTTTTATTTGGACAGGCAACCATGATCAATTGGATGACTTCATTACGTATCTTAACTCAAATGATTGGGGGATTCACTTAACGAGCTGTATTAGTGAAGTTAAAATTAATTTCTTGGATTTGCACATTTATATAGAGGAAGATAAGATCAATACAAAAAACTTTTTTAAACCAGTGGATGCCAACGGGTATATAGAAAGAAATAGTTGCCACCATAACCCGTGGCTGGAGAATGCACCAAGAGGCCAATTTTTAAGGATTAGAAGGAATTGTAAAAAAGAATCCGATTACATAGAACAGGCCGAGTATATTAAACAGCAATTTATAGAAAAGGGATACAGTAAAGAAATCTTAGAGAAAGACATCAAAGAAGTGAAAGAAATACCAAGAAAGGAACTTATATAATATAAACCTAAAAAAGAACAAGGGAATAGCAATAATGTATCCTTTATTTGCAATTACAATGGACGGAACAAACAAATAAAGAAAACAATTAAAAAGCACTGGCACTTATTACAAGATGATCCTATCCTCAACAAGATTTTACAGCCTGAACCCAAAATTATTTACAGAGGTGCAAAGAATTTTAAGAACATTTTAGTTAAGAGTTGTCTTAGCCCCAAAAAACCTAGTCATTTTTTGGAGGATCTAAAAGGTTTTTATGGATGTGGAATGTGTCTGCCTTGCAGAACAACTAATAGTAAAAAAAAGACATCTAAAAGATATAGGACACATTGTAAAAAAACCCTACTGTATTAAAGACCATCTTACCTGTCATACAAAAGGCATTATATATATTTTGAAGTGTCCATGTGACCTATTATATATAGGCAGAACCATTAGACCATTGAAAGTAAGAATTGCGGAACACATCAAAAACATTAGAAATGGGCTAGAGACCCACAGTGTCCCGCTCCATTTTAAAGAAAAGCATGATCAAGATCCAAGCAATTTATTCTTTTGTGCCATTAAGGAGGGGATTGGAGGGGGAGAGATTATATCCGAAAATTAGGAAAAGAGGAAATGAGGTTTATTTTTGAGTTCAATTCCCTAGCCCCGCATAGTCTTAATGCCGATTTTGAGATATGTCATTTTTAGTCGCCTTTTTTTTTTTGGCTGTAGTAACTGTACAATTGTACAATTGTACATTTGTAGAGATACATCCCGTTTAATTATGACTAGTTTTAGGCTATATTAAATATCTGTACCCATGACAATATATATGGTTGTGTTTTATGTATTTTATATACTGTTTTATTATATTCATATGTAATACCATAGAGGTACACACCTCTAAGTACCTGGTTTTATGTTAGTTGATATATTGTCCTTTTAGATAGATGAGGGTCTTTTACATATATGTCTTTTATGTATATATTTTTATATAATTACTGGTACAAACAGTGGGATGCATTTCTTATATATATATATATATATATTTTACATTTTACATATCAATATTTCCTCTTCTCATGTCACCAACAGTAATCAATATTCTCTTTTATTCTTTTCTATTCTTTTTTATTCTTTTATGTCATGAGTCCTATGTACAAAGATATGCTTCTAAATACAAAGTGAGGTACAAAAAAAAGGAAGGAGAAAAAAAGAAATGGACATAGAAAGTAGAACGCAGAAAGCGTTCTAAATAAAAGACTTTAGGGAAATCCTGAATTGCGTTCCAATGGTGGAACGCACAAACCGGAAGAAAAGAGAGATCGGTACTCTGTAGGAAAGCCACACGCGATGGCGGTGCGTTCCAAGGGTGGAACGCAAGGACCGGAAACCGGAAGTCCGGCAAACCGGAAATGATGAGAAAGGGAGAAAAAAGCAGCAATGAAAGGTTTTAAAAAACGAAGAAAGATTCAGGAAAGTTTTCAGCAACTGAGGAAGCCCCTTGAAGGGGCGAAACACTTTTTGCTATTGAGACTGTTCAACAGAACTTGTAAGGTCTTTTAATATTCTTTTTATTTTGTTTATATGAATAAATGTTATTTTATCATACTTCACCTGTGAGCCTGTGATTACCCCTCATAAGGAACTTGGAATACAGAGGAGGGAGTGGGACCCTTTACATCCCACAAAGTGAACAACTTGAGCCTAATCTTTAGTGGCTCCATCTTTGTGAGTTTGCATTTAATAAGATCTTATTGGATTTGCAAGATTTCCAGTACAAGCAATATTGCACTATTTTCTACTATTTTATTCTCTTTAGGGTATACTATATGAAATGTACCTATGCAAAGGACTATTTGAGAAGTGCATGTAAGATACTCCGCCTTATTTTCTTGTGTGTTTGTATCACTTTGTTGGTGAAGGTTAAGGGGACCTCACCAGGGTGTCAGAGTTACTTACACATTTGCACTTAGCACATATTGGGTCACTGTAATCTATTTCTGTATTACAATTTGAATATTACGCCAACAACACTAAGGCATAATGGTTTTTATGCAAATGTATCTAGGCTTATGTAGGACTTCAGGAGATGTTTGTGTTGAACTCAGCATCTTACTACAGTGATGCTACTTTGAGGACAATATCATCATAGTAGATTGCAGTACTGACTATAATTCTGTTCAGTCTGTCCTTTAAAAGAGTTGTTAGATTTAAAAACTAATTGGCATGAACATCATCTAATGAGTGGCATCTTACTTTTTGGAACTACTGCATATACTTAGAACTACTTTCTTAACCTTTATTGGTTCTAATGAGCTTTTGGGTTCTAAGAAAGAGATGGAAACTGTTTGATGTGACATGGGTCTCATAATGTTACAGTTTCAATGGCATTATCTCATAATGGTTTTACAAAGCATTAGTCATAAGTACACTAGACTTAACCAAAAAGTTAAAACTTAAAAGTTAAGTTAAAACTATTTCCTGAATAAAAAGGATCTGATAGCGATATAAATCTGCAAGTCTCAAACTGCATTTTTATCTTTGATATAAATCTTGCTTTCCAACTGTCTAACTGAGTTAATGCAATGCATGGGGTATTATAAGACTACACATTGACTGAAATTAAATACATCCAGTCACAGTTAGTGGAAATAGTGCATTGTGCATAGCAAGATTTATGTTAACTTAGGATGCACAATATCCATCTGATGGATTAATACATGTATGGTAGAAAATTGGTTCAATATTAAATTGTGAGACCAGAATTGCAAATGGACTGGGTAAAATAAGTGGAATATTCTGTTAGAATCCTATATAAATAGAATACAAATAGCTCACTGAAGGTCTCATTGATGATTTTAGGACTATATATAAGAAACAGTCATTGCTTGTTATACATAAATGTTCAATAAATCGCTAAATGCAGTGGTTCTTAACAAATTTTAATGGAGACTCAAAATCATGCTCACAGTATTAGCTTGGCAATCCAGTACTACATTTTAAAATTAGTGACCAATATATTAATGGTAATATATGTTTTGCTGGGATCCGATAATTATGACTTTATACCATGGTTTGGGGACCCATAGAAAGTGATCCACTGAAATTGCTTATGAACCCAATTTTTGTCTTGACCCATTTGTTAAGAATAACTAATTGGATGCACTAGCAATGAATTGCAATAGATACAAGCTAGGTAAATAATATAACATATTTTAGTTGTTATTAGAGTGGCAGAGCTTAAATCAAAGTAATTTTGAAATAGTTAAAATGTAGTCCAGACCTAGGTGAGGCCATGGATTCCAGAACAATGCTATACAATATTCCAAGCCTAAACTAGCATTGCAGAGGAGGGAATAAATTAATTTCAAAGACAAGTCAAAACCAAAAATAAAGGGGTGGGTGACTAGCTGAGCAACGGACCAGACGTTTCTGGAGCTCCATCTCTACAACCCTAAAATTAACCCTATTGCCATGAGAATAGTGAGCAATACTTGAATAGACAACACTCTGAATCACCCCCCAAGAGAGATGGTGGCTGCTTTGTGGAAGCAGAAAAAAAAATAAGGACACCTTTTTACCCAACATTTGCAGATCCTTTGACAGGCTGCAACCTGCCAAAGAAAGCTCTGAGAGGCCACAGAGTTCAAGCGAGTCAGATGACTCCCTAGAAGGAGACAGTTCCATAGCCTTGTGGTAGTGTACCGGAGAGCGGACTCGGATGCAGACACATCTCCATCCACCAAAGGGGACATCAACAAGCTACTTCTTGACCTACCTGATGTCAGGAAGGCAGACCTTGCTGGGGTGCAAACAGAAATAAGTGATCTGAATTGACACATTGGTGAAGTGGAATCCTGAGTAGGGAAAATGAGAGGGCTGGCTGACTGACACCCGATTGCAGCAGGAAACAATTTCCCAGCAGGTCTATCAACTTTCCTGTATTGTGGGTTTGCTTGGATGAGGCATCACCAGAGATATAGATGGCTGTGCGGAGAACCAGAAATGGTGGACCGGGAGATCCTACTGGACTTTGCTAACCAGGCGTTTGGAACACTGGGGGCGAAGTAAAGCAATGGAGCATCGCCAATATTTTCTGCATTCAGAATATGTAAATCTCCTACGACCCCTGTGGATACACCCAGATATGTGATAGCAGTCAATTGGGACTATTAAGGCAGCTCTCTTGAGAAATCACCCCACTACCATTGAGGAGGACGGTACAATTAAGATTTTTAATCATGATTTGCTGTTTTCTGTGCTAATGGAGTAGTAAAGATTCTTGCAGATTACTAAAAGAAAAAGCCACGTATGCTACCATTTGGGAGTATCTAGGTATTTATTGATACCCTATAAGGAAAGCGTTCTGACCCGGCGATAGTAATACACACTCTACAATTGCCTCCTATGCCGATGCATCTGCATTCTATAACTACCTTTGGTTCGGGAAACGTGGTCCAGAGCAGGGTCCAGGACCTTCCATAGAATGTCTTGTCTTGTAAGGTGAACCTCAAATTACCTAATGGTTCGCATTATGGTTTCTTCAAAATCCCTTTCCACTATCTGACCTGTCACAGGCTGCCTTTGTTTTATTGACAGTTAATTTTCTTGCACTAACAGTGGTTGAATGGATATGCAAGTATGTCTGCAGATATGTATGGGGATTGTTGAGTGAAACCACCTGTACGAATGGCCTATTGAGGACTTATTCTTGCTTCCCAAACCTGTGCGGTTCTGAGCCTGCAGGAATGTCCGCTAGAGAGATTGTTTTGGTGGGGGAAGGACATGGGTTGTTCAAGGGAAGGTTTAAAGGATCCCATATGGGCATGACAATCAAGCCTCAGCTAGTTCCCACAAACAAGTTCCCAACAACACCT